GTCCTTACTCTGATATAGAAAACCTGATCATCGAAAAAGCTTCTTTAGCTGGTGAACTTCTTGTTAAATTCGACGATTACGATATTGATCTTAAACACGAGATTCAAATTTCTAACCACGATCGAAATAAACAACGACAGATCAAACGAATGGAGTGCGGTAAAGACGATAAACAGGGTTTACAGCACAAACTGGTCACAGATGTGTTCATTTCAAGATCTTGCTTTGAAAAATATTAATGACATAATTACACATCTTATTTATGATAAGCAATTATCATCAACATCAACATACATCAACAAAGAAGCATGCTTCGTAGAAGAACTTATCGAAACTACAACACAACAAACTATCTACACTGCTGAAGCGATTGCTCAACAATACGTTCAACAAGCCAATTTTCATACAGAAAAAATACTAACCATTCGTGACAAATTCAAAAAACCACCAACAGTTGACACCATTATCAATGTCATCGAAAATCGTAAAATCAATATGCTTCAACGTGTTCAGTGCAATATCGCCCACCAAGTAAAAGCTTTTCCTCAACAGCATACGAATCAAAATAACCCACAACACTAAAACTTGAACGAATTATCTAATTTAACAAAAGACTTACATTACATATCCTTCCTATTGACATATTTTTTTATTCAACAAAGTTTCAATGCCATACTAACTTCGTACAACACGCTCCCCATCTCCCTAACAGACAGTCATCCTATTTTCCTTTTCCCATTACCGTTCTAAAACATTCCATAACTGAAACCATAAAATAAAAAAACAACTTCTCGCAAAAGTGAAATACTTTAATTGTATTGTGGTAGCTTCTCTCATCCTACGAGGTTTTTAGAAATACTGCTTTCGAGCAGTTATCTTCTAAATTTATACCCCGTATTAGATTAGTTCTTTACTGAACAGATCTTCAGATACTCGGTATATGCCACTTGATAATCTTAATTATCGCAAAAGTGAAATACTTTTAATTGTATTGTGGTAGCTTGGCTCACCCTCACCCCCGACTATTGAAAATACAATTCATTCTGCTACAAAGAAGATATCTGATTATCTAGATCAATCAATACGACCTATATTTAATGATGTATGTGAAAGGACAACAATTATTGATGGTACTTCAGCAATTAAAGAACTATCAAAATATGCTGACAAAGGTCTTCTTAAACCACCAACTCTTTTTTGTACCATTGATATTCGTAATTTATTTTCCATGTTACCACAAGAAGAATCATTAAAAATTTTAGTTCAATTTCTTGATAAAAATGGACATACAAAAGTCGATTAAATTCATTCTACTACAATAAAACAATTAGCTTCGATTGTATTGAAAGAAAATGTTTTTGTGTATGGTAATAAAATCTATCGACAAATAATTGGTGGTGCAATGGGTTCATCGTTTACATTGACTTTAGCCAATATTTTTATGTGGCATTGGCAACAAAAACTTGTGAATGAACAGAATCAGTCTGGAGAATTCTTTGGTCGGTAAGTTTTCTAAATAGGAGAAACGTTGTTGAATCGAAAAAAACCAAAATCTATATAAATATATTCCAGATTTGTCGATGATATCGTTATCACATGGAATAGATCTGAACAAGAATTAATAGAATTTTTGAATGTAGCAAATAATTGGCATACAAATATTAAATTAGATTATAAAATTGGCAAAAGTCTTCTATTTCTTGATGTGCTTCTTACAAATAATAATGGTATTTTAGAAACATCTGTTTATCATAAACCAGCTGCGGAACCCTATGTTGTTCCATTTGTATCGGATCATCCTCGACATGTCTTTGGAAATATTACACAAACAGCTCTTGCACGAGCTGTCCGGTATTCATCGGCATTTAAAGCATTTCAAAATGAACAACGTTACATCGAATTAATGTTATTATATAATGGATAAGTAATCATCATCATAAATATTTAAGTTTCGAGATCAGATTCATTTCAACCAATGAATTATCTTCTCAGGTATCCATTATCATTTATTGAGAAACAATTCCAAAAGTTTTCTTCCGACTATCTATCTACAACATCATTTATACCGTTGATTGATGATGAGAAACAATATTTTCTTCTGCGAAACAAACTATTTCATCGACAAACAGCTGAAGAATCGAAATCAAATCTGAACTACATTGCAAGTAACTTTGATCCACAACAGGTCACAACCGCTACTACCACCAATATCAGTACAAAATCATCGATGGCAGCAACTGCTAAAGTCAAAAAATACGAAGATAAATTAATCTTCCATTATACACATGAAAAACGTTTCCACTCATTTAAACGAGACATGCAAAAACTTTATAAAGATCATTTTCGGAGATCCATCGGCCATGATTATAAAAATGGTGGTGAGCAATCGTAATCGACGAAGTGCAACACATGAACTGGTACGTAAGAAGCCAAAAAAGTCATTACTACAAAATAAACCCATAAAAAGTAAGTCATTTACAAACTTATATATCAATATCAACTTTATTGAACATATCTCCGACTCTCTTTCTCAGCAACAACGATCAAAAAGAACAAAGAAGGAACAATGATCACCGAACCTCGCCGAGAACAACGCCTGATATTCCAAGCATTGTCTGATGTCTCACCGGATTTGACAAATCAATTAAAACTCCATTGTTCCTATTTAGAGACATCAGTCTTATTTTCTTCATGTAATCTACAAAATCTGCTACACTTAAATATCCTCCAATATGAACATAAAACTCATTCAATAAACTACACTAAACCTACAAACTTTTAATCAACCACATAAACAATACATAATCTTTCGTTTTTCTCATTCTAGATGAAACTCTTACTCAATAATATAACAAACACAGCAAGAAACTAGTTATGGTAGTTATTCTCACTACTGCGATTAAGATATTTCATTGTATATTCATTTAATTATAATATATAACTGAATATTTTCTTGGGATTCTATTATAAGAATATTAAAGCCATTTGAAAAGTCTCTTAGCACAGACGAAACCGGTCGTGGTAGCTATTCTCACCTTCACCCTCAAGATAGTTCTCAGTTCAAGTCTCATCACAAAGGAAAACCTTGCTGCGAGTGCGGTACCCACCAGATGTTCTTTTCGAGAACAAAAAAATCCTTCAATCAATCAAAAACTAATACAAACGGAAATACAAACAGTAACAAACACACTAACACAAATATGTCTACCGTTTCCTCCACGCCATATTTCATTCCTAATCCCAGTCCTCATCATAACCGATTGTGTCAAATTAATAATTTAATAATTTGCATTAGATTTAGATCAATAAATGTAGTTATCCTATGTTATTTATCATGGAAGTACGCCTTGCTTTTACTGTTAATCTTCAACCATATTCACAATATGGTGATGAAGAAGAAGAACTACTGATTCCTGGTGTTTGCTTCACCATCGACAAAGTGGAGTTTGACAAAGACAATAACAAACACTTGATCTACTTAACTCTTCAACAAAGGCACAACAGTAAGTCAACATTATCTTTTATTGAATGTATTTTGACCGTCGGTTATGCATTTTGCTCACATTTCTCTGTCATCATACTTGTCTATGAGGTTGCTATATGTCTTTCTATCAATCAAATCTCTAGCACATTTCATATCAGATTTAGTATAATGCTCTATTTAACCATATCAAATCAGGACATTCTGATGGTAGAAGTTTGAGAAAGCAAACAGGATAAGCTCTATATAATCTATGCAAAAGAGAAATAATTCCGATTTGTTACGAAATATGCGAAGGTTCACCTTTCATTTCTAGCAATTATTCCCTCGACTGTAGGGAGGGTCTTACGAAATAAAATAGTTTGTGTGTGTGTTTGTGTCAGGGTCAAAAAAACATTTTTTTTTGGTACTATACTAAAAGAAAAAAAAATGGTATTTGAGAGAAGAAGAGAAGAAAAAAAGTTAGAGCGTATAGCGTGGGGTACCTAAGTCCTGTGTGCAAGTGGGGGTGCTCCTGGATGTGAGGTAGGCTATTGGTGGACGCGGTGCGCAGAGGGTAGCAATTGGTGGGTGCGAAGCGGAGAGGGTGGCCATTGGTGGGCGCGGTGCGGGGAAGGTGGCCATCGATGGGTGTGGTGCGGGGAGAGTGGCCATCGATGGGATCCGTAGGAAGTGCTGTGGTGACATGGTCTTTTGTTGTCGCGCCCGTCACTGCGTTCACTTATGGCGATTCGGCCCATCACTCAATGTTCCCAGTCAGACTCTCATTGTCACCCGCATCCTCGTTCTTTGATGTTTTGGAAAAGTTCCCTCGACTGTAAAGAGGGTCATATGAAATAAAATAGTTTGTGTGTTTGTGTCACAGTCAATGGTCATAGGCGAGGGCGCTCAACTGATGGGTTTGGATTACGGGAGCGGGCGCCCAACTGATGGGTTCTGAGAATTGAATAGTACCATCAGTTGTTTGGTATTTCCAACTCATTTTTCTCGGTCTAGACTAGAACCAACGAAGAAATCCTTGAAATCGTAGGAGGGTTTACTGAAGGGTAATCGGGCTCGAGGAATCGAATGGTACTATCACTTTTTCAAATTTTTGAATAGATTGTTTAGTTGGATACGACATCTATTTTATTATCTATACCGCCGGGTCAAGATAAGCTACATGTAAATTCACTTTTTCCGTTGTCACCACTGTCAACGCCAATGAATTTCTTTCACGTTGATAGTGGCGACAATGGAAAAAGTGAATTTACATGTAGCTTATCTTGACCATACCGCCGTGCAGTATGCGCAAGTCTCCCTTAGTATGTATTACTATGGGACTATCCTCAGGTCCGTGTATTCTATGCTATGGGGGTATCCTTAGATCCTTATGATATACTATGCGATTAGTCTCGGATGCTCAAGTGACGCATTGAGAGGGTATGTTCGAGTTCTTAACGGTTTTTGAAGCGCATATTGTGGTGATGGTCCTCAGTGTCCACGTACTTCGTGGACACAGATGGTGATATGTTGTTAGTACGGATTGTCTTGAGCATAGTGGATATTTGTCAACAACATTCGACAAAGAAATTAGTGGTACGACAGGCCGCGGATACGTTTGGAATGCTCGATACTTTTTCACTGCCTTTACTGTATGGAGGGTCATATGAAAAGAAACAGTTTGTTTAATTGTGCGTATGTGTCAAATCAAAGATCAAAAGAACCAATATTTTTGCAGAAGATAACCAGCCAGTTGTGGTGGTGAGCGTGGGTACCCACTTGGTGGATCTGGCTGTAGTGCGCATACGTGGTAGGTTTCGGTGGTGGGCAGTAGCATCCAAGGGGTGTAATCTGGTGATAGTCGTCAGCGACCAAATCGCAAACTTCGGTAGTGCATTGAGGGTTTTATATGGTTTGCGTTATGCAGACAACGATCGTATGTTAAATCGCATCTCGTTGTGAACAGCTGGTACCTCGGAGGATAAATGACTCAGTATCGTTTTGTATTGTCGAATGTCAATGAAATCGAAAATCTGTGAATATGTTCCGTTGTAAGAGGAAAGGGCAAATGTGTAGAAGGAAAGCGGTTTGCTACTGAAGCCTCGTGATATGATATGCTTCACTTGATTTAGAACACCATAAACACCATATAATTGATAAGATAATACTTTTACGAAATAGTGTTTTGTAGTAGTAGTGTTGAATGAAAATGAGTGTAGGAGGGATGGCGTGGTGAGAACTGAAAAAACTATTGTAACAAATACATGAAAAAAAATACAACTCAAGTATTGATTCTTGATTTCTTCTACAGAAAAGGCTGTTCAATGCAAATCATGTGCAGTCGAGAGTTAAGCGAGTCGGCCCCGACTTGCGTTACTTGTTTTTCTATAGTACGTTAATGGTGTTGACAAAGAAAGGAAACTGATTGAGATTTGGCATATATCATCCGAAGGCCAGATAACATCGATAGCTAAATTGAACTGTAACAAGAAGAAGCCATTAGATATTGGGTATCCCATAATTATAGGACCCCCTCTTAAATGTTGAGAACAATGAAGATTTTCCCAACTAAATAAGATTTCATTTCGGATCTAATGTCACATCCATGGACTCATAGTGGCAACCTAACGCATGCCATATTGGTTTGCATTTGATTAGTTAACGTTAATAAATAAAGTCAAAGTGTCCAGATTCCAAATGTTCCATGATTAACAGACCCCCTCTATCCTGAGTATAAAAATATTGAATTAATATTATTTTTACCAACTCAAATGATTTTTTTCAGCACCCATTCGGAAGAGGAGACACTCGGCTACATGTTAAAAAAAATTGGTTTGGCAGAAACTAATTGAGGTTTCCTGCGCTTCAAGAAACTAAATGGTAGAAAATCTAAACCTCAAAATTATCACTATGTAGTTCGAAAAAAATAAGGTTTCACCTCTTTAATAGAATTTAATAGGATGAGGCTCAATTTAAATCATATCATTGGATAGAGCATCAAAAACTGCATAAGCCATATATGTTTTGGCAAAAAGATTTTGAGGCTATTAATATTTGTGAAAAGGTATTCTAAGATACTCAAAAACTCTGTTTTCTAAAGTTCATGTCAGAAACCTGGATATTCGTGAGAAAAGTCCCTGATTTCACATCAGAAATAGACATAAATTTGTTTCCAAGGATATTAATAGAAAGAGCGTCAAATTCTGCAGAAGGTAGGCTAGTTTTCCTTAAGTTAATAACAAAAAATTTGAAACATGCTCTCATAAAGTAAGTAAAAGCAACGCAAAGTAGAGGACAACCAAGTGATAAATTGCTGTTTGCTTAAACTCGAATTTTCTCAGTCGTATTACGTGCAAAAGAGTTTGAGTCATATCTCATATCAAAGCGCATTGAACGTGCTATAAATCATATATTTCTTTGTTAATGAAAAGCGTTGCTTAAAAACATTTTACCAAAAATACTAGATATCTTTTTTGTCGTCCTGTCCTCTACTTT